TGGGGGACTCCGCCTGCCAAACGGAGCCTCCGGGGGAGCGCGCTGGGAGTGGCGGCGGAGCGGAGCAGGAAGCGGCCACGGGGCAGGGATCGGCCGCGCGGCGCGGGAGGGGCTGGTCCCGGGGAAGGGCGGGAGCTGGTCCGCTCCGCTGCGCTCCTCTGCGCCCAGCCCCGGGGAGATTCTGGGCAGAGTGAGAGCCAAACGTGCCTCCCCCTTAGGTCCGAGGGAGGCACGTTGAATCCGTTGGGGGGACAGTCTCAGGGCAGCCGTCCACCCTCCGGTTTCCCGGGCCACCGCCTCCCAGCGTTGCTCCCCGAGCTGCCCGCACGCAGGCACCACCCTGCCTGCCTCGGACACGCACTCCTGACCCAGAACCTCAAGATGAGGAAGGGAGAGAGGCTGGGAAAGCAGCCGTGTGGGTTCAAAACCCAGCCTCGGGAGGCCCTGGTCTACCTGCCCTGATGGGGAAAATTCAAAGTCTGACCTCAGGTGAGCTGGCGCGCGAAGCTAACTGAGAGGCGCCTCTTTTATCTGAGCCTGGGAGGCAGCCATAACCGGCACTGTAATCTTTGTTTTGGTTGCCCCGGGCACACACCTGTAAACTCTGAAATGTAGTTTTGAAAAACAAGTTGTCCATAGGTTTAGGGTTGCTTTTCAGACTCTATTCAAAGGGAAAACTAGTTAAAATTTTGTCACTGATCTCGAAGTTGTCGTTATTCTATTTGCATTTACCATCAACTTACAAAAAATTATCCAGGTGCTCTTCCTGTGTGTGCAGAAACTAGGCAAAAATAAGAAAAAGGGTTACAGATACTATGCATGAAAGCCCTGCCTGGCTATCGACCAGGCTGATGTTTTTAAAGGGAGTCAGATTATTCTCTACTCCCCAGCCAGGGCCACAGCTAAACCATACAAGACAAATGAGAATCACCTAAGTAAGAAAAAATTATAACAGCTAACAATCAGCAGTCATTCACTGTATGCCAGTCACTGTGCTAAACATTTTGCACGCATTAATTCAATCCTCATGCAACCCTGTATGTCATTCCTCTTTAGCTTTGTTCTAAATAGATTAATATGCTGAGAGTCATACTGTATGAATACCAGAAATAATAGCCCACTATTATATTAGAAGTGAGCAAATGCACATGCATTTTTGCTGAGAAAGACAAAGAAAGAAATGAACAGAATAGAGAATTTTTAGTCCAGTAATCTACAAACAAGGCACTCTGAAAGTGACTAACCCAAATACTTGTGCTTCTGGAACTGTGCAGATGAAGGTGAAGCTGAGTAGAAGTTTACAGCCAGTAAATAGATAAATATTATTATAAGCAGTTTACAGTTATTAAAACTGAAGCTCCAGTAGGTTCACTTCATCCCCAGGTGACACAATAAATTTGAACCAAGACTCAACCTCATGTCTCTCTGGATTCCGAGTCCAGTATTCTTTCTACCATTCCAGGAACCTCTCTTTTCACATCACCCCAGACAAAACTGAGTGCACTGTGTCTCCTCCCAATGGAAAGACCATACTGGTAATCACGTAATCACTCTGGAGAGCAAGGGACAATTTTTGCTTTGTTCTTATTTTGTTTGTATTTAGATAGGACATCAGCACAAGACCGCGGGTGGTATGGTACAGCTCTTGAAATTCTAGGCAGGAAAATCAGTAGTCACAAACCCATTATCAAGGAACTGAACACAGTGTGTCCAAGATTACAGGGATCAAATAAGCTTGCACATACTTCCATGAGTATTATCAGGACATGGCTGCAGTTTTTTGAACAGCCGTGGTGCTAGTTCATGCCATTTTTTTAGAACGCATCTCTTTCATTAGCCTTAATTACTCCTGTTGTAAAATGAAGTTTTAGGCAAATTCCTTTAACCTCTTGAGCCATCTTCCTGGCGAAGAAAGACCTTTCGTAGAGTGTTGTTGGAGGATCCAATGAGACAACGTGCTAGTTCCCTATAACCTGTACATCTCTATTGGAGAAGATACCATCGTTAACACTATCTGCCAAGAATTACCCAGGCTGTGCAGGGTAGAAGGGGTCAATGAGTGGGGAAAGAGGGCATCTGTAATACTTTCAACAATAAAGATAAATAATAAAGTGAATACATACACATATATATGTATATATATACCATGTCTATCCTGCAAACTGAAATATAAATAAATACAGCTTCTTTTGTTTTTGCTCAATATGTCTTTGCCCAAAGCAAATGTAGCATTCTTTTTTTTTTTTTAATGCATTGGAAAATTTAAAGAAATGTTAAAATTCTTCTACATTATAAAAGGTCATAAAAAGTCAACTAGCTTTTTAATATAAGCATTAATTTTGCGACAACTTTTAGAAATAAAGATCAGTTTAGATATTTGGAAAAGAAAACACAAGAATTACCCAGGCTGAGTCATACTGGGCAAAACCCTTTTGCACCAGCATCTTATAAAAATCTGAGACAACACTAAGAATTGCAAAATCCTGTCAAGAGAATGCAAGAGGTGAAGGGATAGTTGGGGAATGAGAAGTATATTCATCTTCCCATTCCTGAGAACTGAACATGAAGGAAAGAATTCAAGTGTGATAATACTGATGGCCCCTGTGACTTTGAGTAGAAACATAAAAATATAAACACATGCTGTACGTAACAGTGATAGCTTGGGTTTATACCGTTTTACCCTCCCAAGACTTCAAAGTGCTTTTATATATGTTACCTCATTTATCTTTTCAGCATCCTTCTGGAGCAGCAAAGACAGATACAATCATCCCCATGTTGCAGATGGGGGAAAATGGGGTGAAAAGAAGTTATTATTCTTACTGATGACATTAAGATACAAATAGGCTTTTAAATTCCCAGTCCAGAACACTCTTTGGTAAGCTGTGGTATCTTACATGCATATACCAATTCCTCTTGGCATATGAAAGATATACCAATTCCTTTTGGTGTATCAGAACCAATTCCTCTTCCAGTTACTATGGTAATGGTAAATAACAGCAGTATTTTATCCAGTTGTTGTTTTTTTTTAATTTTTATGTATTGATTTAAGAGAGGGAGAAAGAAGAAGTGGGGGAGGGACATTGATATGTTGTTTCGTCCGTTTATGCCTTCATTGGTTGATCCCTGTATGTGCCCTGACCAGGGATGGAACCCACAACCTTGGCGTATCAGGACAATGCTCTAAGCAACCAAGCTACCTGGCCAGGACTTACCTGGTTGTTTAAACTAGAAACCTAGGGGTGATCTCTGATTTCTCCCTTTCTTCCTCTCCATCTCTCTCCATCAAGTCTGCCAGCTACCCCACAAATATATTTCAATTTCTACCCACTTTCCTTTGCCTTCATTATACCTTTTTTAAGCCCCCATCACTCTTTGCCTCTGGCCCTCCTAACCAGTTGTTCTGCTTCCCTTTCTACTTTCACAATCTGGCCCTGAATATAGTGACATTCATAGTGAACTGCAAAAAAAATGCATAACAGGTTATGTTACTCCTTTACTCAAAACTCATTAATTTTTTGCCAACACACTTGGAATCAAATGACATCCATGTCTTACAAGACCTTATATCACCTGGGCCCTGCCCCATTTTGCTCTATCATGGCACTTTGTTATCTTTATAACACTTTTTCACTAATTCTTGATTCCTCGCTTATTTCCTATGCTTCTTGCTTGAATACAAGGTCCCTGAAGGCATGGACTGGGCCTGTCTTCTTTACCAAGGCATCCTTGGCAGCTAATCCACAGTGGGTACCAGAGAATAATTCTCAAATATTAATTAATCAAGTATAGATTTATATTTATTGCCTCCTAAAGCTACATATATACTTAATACTTCACTGTCCTGCAGACAGGAAGTCAGGCAGAAAATGTTTCAAAATCCATTGAAAGTCTTATAATCTATCAATACGTTTTTATATAGAAGGTGAGGATACATGATTCTTCCTCTTACGTTTCATAGTTAAGTTGGAGAAACAGCTAAATGTAACACAGAACATAAAGGCAATGCCTGTTTGTCTTCATTCTAGGCCTAGTTAATGGGGTCAGCATGTACTTAGTTCCCAAGCAAGCAATCAAGGAAATGCAGTTATTATTTCAGTATTTCCTTCTTTCTCTGTTTGCTCTCCTATCTCCCATCCATATAGACAGATGATCCAGAGATCATCGGGAATACTTCTTAAATCTGTCCCTTCCTCCCAGTCCTTATTTCAGGCTTGTTTGTCTCCTACTTGAACAATAACTACCTTCCCTGCTTCTGGTCTCTCTAGGGTACTGGATTCCGGAGAGAACTTTGGAACCAAAGGCTTCTCCATCTACCAACCGGGTGACCCTCAGGCACATTCCTAGTCTTCTGTACCTGAGTTTCCCCTGTCAAAAAAAGCATACTACTACTACCTACCTCCGGGTTTTTGCGGCAATTTAACATAAGTTAATAAAAACAGAATGTTTGGAATCATGCCCAACACATTAGGTAAGTGCTTCATAAATGAGAGTTAATACTGTCCTTTTTATTAGAATCTAGATTCAATCCTGGATCTCCTACCTGTTAACTGAATGACTTTGCAAATGAATTTTCTGAGTTTCAATTTCCCTATCCACACAAATGGATAGAATGTTCTCTACTCTAAAAGTTTGTTGTGCCCGACCGGGCGTGGCTCAGCGGTTGAGCATCGACCTAGGATCCAGGCGATCAGGGTTCGATTCCCGGTCAGGACACATGCCCAGGTCGTGGGCTCAATCAATGACTCTCTTATCGTTGATGTTTCTATCTCTCTCTCTCCCTCTCCTTTCCTCTCTCTGAAATCAATGAAGATATATTTTTAAAAAAAAAGTTTGTTGTAAAAAACGACAACACTCATTGAAACCTAGCACAGCACTTGTCTAGCACATAGTAGGGAGTCAATAAAATGTTTGTTTCCTGCCTCCTTTCCCATGTATCTGCCTGCATCTGTTTCTAAATAATTAGAGGGTGGATTGGATTATCTCTAAGGTTCTTTCCAGCATTAAAAGTTTATCTCCATCGGAACTGCATAAAGGATACCCAAGGGCAAGGGAATCCCCTTGTAAAAAGCCAAGTGGTCTTAAGATGCCCTAGTTGTCAGGAAACTGGGCTCCTAGCAATTAGAATCAGGCAAACCCAAGGTAGCTATTTTGGTCTGTAGTAGTGGGAAGGTGGTGCGAACTCCACTGTCTGGCAGCAAAAAAAAAAAATCCAAAAAAATCTGAGCAGATGGCATATTTATAGGCACTCCCCAAGGATTTCAGTTCAGTTGGAATGGATGCTAGGAGATGAGTGGGAGGAAACTGAACTGCATCTTCCTCCAACTTCTTGAAACAGGTCTGAAGATTTGAGGACCTGCTTGACAGCGGAATACTTGGGGAGAGCTGGAGTTCTCTAAACTGACTCTAAATCCAGCTCTGCCTTCACGGAGTGGTTCTTGAGGTTTAGTGCAGTCAGAATCACCTGCAAAGGTCCTTACTGACACAGACCCTGTAGCATCCTTCCCAGAGATTCTTACTTAGTAGCTCTAGCATGGGTTTAAGAATCAGGTGATTCTAATATAGGTGATGCTGGGAATACAATATGAAAAACACAAACTAGAGTCACCAAGAGGCATATTAAAAGGGGGTACCCCAGGCACTGACCAGGGAAGCTAGTTTATAAAGAGCTCTTTAGGGCTTTGGTTTTGTTGAGGAGATGGGAGCTTTGAGTTGGGGTCAACAGGAGAGCCATTGAGTGTTGCCACCTCCACTCATTCCAGTCTGCCCCCCACTTCCCTGCCCACTCCCTCATGCAGTGCTTGGCTTCACCTCTTAATAAACACTGGACAGATTTTTTTTTTTAATATCAGTTTTAAAGGGAGCCAAAATATTAACCTGTCCAGAGAAACACACATGGCTGGCCCCAAGTTATCTAAAAGTAGACCAGGGTCACCCACATCAAGCCTCGGAAGTCCTGCTGCTTAGTACTGTTAAACTTCAATGAAAACATACCCAAAAACTAGGTGTCCCTAGTACATTTCTGACCCAAGTTTAAAGATAAATTTAACCTATATGAGGAAAATATAACCGGACTTCTTCCTTTCTATTATAAAAATACTTTCTCTTGTGAAATTCCATTATCATTTTAAAAGTTCCTGGAAGTGGTCTTTTTGCTTCTAAGAAAACCTTACCTAACCTAAACTGTTAGAGAGTAGATAAATACCCATCACTTTATCTAACCATCTTCGGGAGATGAAATTCCATAATCTCTCTTGGTAACCCATCTTTATATATTAAAGAGTGTTTATCAATCTTCAGATTCCCTTTTTTCTGATCAAATTAAAAATAAAGGTTGACTTTTATAATGCATTTAAACAGGCCAGCTTAAACACACACATATACACACACAGGAAACATGAGGTGAATTCACTGGAGACTCATAATAGATGATCCATGTTTCTTTTTTCATTATAATAGTTGGCAAAAGATATGAGCCTTTCTCAATTCATCCACCCTAACTCACATACAATCCTATGTTCTGTGATTCATAATGAGTGGAAATGATCCCATCATAGCATTTTCTTTTGTCTATAGCCTAAGCCTCACCTTCTCTCTTGTTCCTAAATAAAATGTGTGTTTATCTTCTTAAAAGTATGATTATCATGACATCAGATATTGATCATGCTGCACTTCAAATCTGTTTTTCTGAAAGCTTGCCTGAATTCAGTAAGTAGTTTTCCTCCTTTCACTGAAATGTCTCCTTACTATTTTTCTGCTCCTCATTACAGCAACCTATACCACCAAAATTTTCACCCCAATCTTCACATTGTTCTTATAGAATTTCTGCCCTCATAGCTTTTTTATTTTCTTTTAATTTATTGTGGTGACATTAGCTAATAAATTTATATGGGTTTCAGGGGTACAGATCTATAATACATCATTTGTATATTGTATTGTGTGAGTCCTCATAGTTTCTTGAACATGCGTGTGTGTTGTGCGCGCGCGCATAATGTGTGAATCAGGCAAGTATGTAAAATTTATCATTTTTAAAGTAATAAACATAATTTTTTAAATTAAATTTCCATCATCACTTTATGCTTTATAAATCAAATAGAATACCAAATACATTTACCATAAAGCATTCCCAATGTAAGTTACATAATATATAATAAAAATACCAAATAACTCATCAAAAATGTATTAATGGTTGCTGTTAAGGAATCTCACCTAAGCATAGCAATATAGAAAACAGGTTTTAATCATCTCACTCAAAATAATCTCTTTTCTCTGTCATTCAAATGAGTGGCTACAGAGGCTTTTTTAAAATAGGACTAGGGTTTAGGTATTAGTCCAGTTGACATTCTTTCTCTTTGACAAGATTGTGGAAGACTAAAGATTATTTCCTAGTTTTCCATGATGCTTTTATGCAAAAAATAGTTTGCATAATTTCTTTTCAGTCTCAATTGAATTCCTAAAGCTATTTTTCAAGCAAACTTCCACATGTCTCCAGTGTACACCATCTGTCTCGTCTCTCTTTCTCTCNATTGTGGAAGACTAAAGATTATTTCCTAGTTTTCCATGATGCTTTTATGCAAAAAATAGTTTGCATAATTTCTTTTCAGTCTCAATTGAATTCCTAAAGCTATTTTTCAAGCAAACTTCCACATGTCTCCAGTGTACACCATCTGTCTCGTCTCTCTTTTTAAAGTATTACAATTATCTCATAACAGAAGCTGTCAAATCTTTATTCCCCAAGGATTCTTTCTTTTGATAAATGAAAAGGAACTGTATATATTGTTATGTGTAGTTGTATGAATGTGACAGGGGTTAAGGCAAGGTTAGATGTTCAAAGCAGTTATGGCTAACTTGACATATTGGAGGAAATGTGATCAGGTAAGCTGGCTAGAGTTTTTAAATCGGATTCTTTACTCCAGGAAAATGTAAGAATGTTTAGTCAAAAGGTCTGGAAGTCTTAAAGCAAAGAAGAATTTGCGAATGGCCTTACTAAGAGTTCTGTAACCCATACCACAAGCATTAGAGAAAATATGAAAAAATGCAGATGACCTTACTCACAGGATGCAAATTACTTATAAAGTCTATTGACATTTGCAAATGGTTGATGCTATTACTGTGGAACTCAAGTCTTCTGTTTACACAGTAAGGATATACTCAGCAGGAACTTCACAGAAATCACATGGGTTACCAAGAAAAAGTCCATACTGAAGTATTATTTAGAAAAAAATCCTGCCAAAAATATTTAAAAGGCTTAAAAAAAAAAAAAAAAGTTTGCAAGGAAATACAATAGATAGCCCTGGGCGGTATGCTCAATTGGTTGAGCATCATCAGGTGCACCAAAAGGTCGCTGGTTTGATTCCTGGTCAGAGCCCAGTCAGGGTGTATATGGGGGGCAACCAATCGATGTTTCTCTCTCATATCAATCTTTCTTTCTTTCTTTCTTTCTTTCTTTCCCTTCCTCTCTCTCTAAAAAAAAATCAATGAAAACATATATTTTAAAAAGGACCAATAAAAAAGAAATGCAATAGAGTTTATTTAGTACTCAGAATTTACAACCAATATATTTTATAGCATTTCATAAAAAATTTATTTGCAACTCAATTTCAATCGATTTGTAGAGTTCTAATTACTGAAATCTAGTAAGAGGCTGCAAAGAACAGTTCAATCTTCAGCTATCCAGATTCCTTGAAACCTGGGTTACTCTAAAAAATCAGCTTTTATTTGGATGAAAATATTTGAAATACAGTATAAGTTTCCCTGATTTTTTAAATAAAAGATACAAAAAAAATTAACATTTACAGATGACTCCAGGTCATCATTGTAAATATTAGTTACTGTACAAACAGAATAGTTAGACTGTGGAGTCAGACAAACTTGGGTTGGAGTGCTGGCTCTGGGAATTTTTACTGATGGGACTTTAAGAATGTGACTCTCAGACATAGCTTCATCATCTATAAAATGGAGATAATGGTACCTACTTCATAGGTGGTTGTGAACCCTGAAAGAGATAATATATTTTATTTTTATTTACTTATTTTATATATCTCTCTATTGATTTCAGAGAGAGAAAGGGAGAGGGAGAGAGAGATAGAAACATCAATGATGAGAGTCATTGATCAGCTGCCTCCTGCAGGCCCCCAACTGGGGATCCAGCCTGCAACCCGGGCCTGTGCCCTGGTCTGGAATCGAACCCCCATCACCTGGATCCTAGGTCAGTGCTCAACCTCTGAGCCACGCCCAGCCGGGTAGATAATACATTTTAAAAGAGAGGCTTAGTGTATTTACAGGCACTTCAGAAGAACTAAGTAAAGCTTAGCTAGTCTTAGTATTAATATTAGTATTAGTATTGATGTGATTATTTTACATTGAGGAATTTAGGAGCATTTTTCTCTTAATAACATCAGCATTCCACTTTTTTTTTAGATCCTCACCTGAGGATTTTTTGTTGTTGTTTCTTTTCAGAGAGAGTCGAAG